CTAAATCACATTAGATATATGTATTCTAAAATGGAATTTCTCCAGTTTGCCGTCCTCTTTACTCACCCCGCATTCATTACATATGGTTTTTTCAGGCACTCGACACAGTGGACCAAGGTTTAGGAATACAATTGGGTGAATACATTTTTGCATAAAACTTACTGTACCTCTTGAAATTCTCCCAGCCTCACCTTGATCAACAATGGAATTGAATACAATCACAAATCAAATTTCCTCCCTTTTTATAAAAAATTTGCCAACTCTGGGGATTCACATCCTATTTGACTTCCGTTAAATCAAATATCCCTTTATCTAAACCATTAGGTTATGTGAAGTCCACTCTAGCCTAAATGGATTGCGTAGCTACTTTCCTCGGTACTTTGTTATCTTCCTTGTTCTGGGAGCTTAATGAGGCTGACTGCTTGTTTACTCTCGCGAGATTTGCTTGAACATCATAAAGACAAGTAAGGCCCAAGTAGTGATCATCTTCCTCAGTCATCATTTCAGTTACTTGCTACATAAATCAAAAAGATATATTTGAATATGAAAGTTGATCATATAAAATTGTAACGAGGGCGGTTTATAATAGCCTATTGCTTTTCCACTTTCACCTTCCAGGATTATTATCTGAGACTAACCGTTCCATGAAACTCTTGTCATTCTGGTTCGATCCTTCATTTCTCTGCAGCTCGCTCAACCGTAGAAGTCACAAGCTGACTTTCACTTGATTCTAGTGTTTATTCAGTACATCTTATTTGTGGCGCCAGCCTGATCAGGCTTGTCCGTATCCTTGTAGGTGTATGTGTTCCGCCTTGGTAAGTGACGAGAATAATTGGCAAATCGTAGACGTCTGCAATTGGTATTTGGCTACTCTCCATTCTGTAATCTAGGCAAGCCACAAGATCCCAGAACATCTATATGAATGGTCTTCTAAGGATAGATGTTGAAACAAAAGTAGTCTGTATGCATGCAAGATGACTTTTTACACCAGGTCTCCATTGCTCTAGTCCGTCTTAAAGGGAATTGTTGGTGGTTGACGGATTTTTAAGGAGCATAATCGAAGGAATTTTTAAAAAGCGAACTAAATTGCTTCATAACTGACGACGAAAGGATGAGGTCGTCTTTTCAAGGTCATACTTTTGTGGGATGCTTCCAATTACGCTGTGAGCTGCCCAGCTGCCTCCATTTGGACGGCCTGACTGAAACTCTTTTGAAATCATAACTGTGCCAGAGGCTTAGCCTAGCTGATCCTGACTTCTGGAGATCATGTGACACGAGGCAAGTTTCATGCAATGGGCTCGCAATCAGCTTGAACTCAGGCCAAAGCAAGAAATCGATAAGACAACTGGCCGACTTGTCAAAACCGTAATAAGCATTAGACAATGTGTTGAGCCGTCGAGTTGGCCTCCGCTGCTGCCGCGGCGCGAACGCGAGATAGACGCCGGCTCAACCCACTTTCCCTTCAGTCGGAAGCTGCTGCCCTCGCGTGAATATAAGCAGGCTTGTACGTCTATGTGCAACTGTATGCGGCCTCGTCGTGGTTGCACGTGAATCCTCATGCTCTCTTGCTCTCGCTCTCGCCTGTTCTGCAAACAATACGTCAAGGAAAACGCCCTGAGTGTCGATTCTACCAATACCACGTAGAGGCTAAAAATAACTCTAATTCTGATTGGCTGTTATTCAATTATCGTTTGCGCTGTGCCGGTCAGGTCACCAAGTCGACTTTTCTTATTCTCATTCTCTCTCGGTTACCTATCGCTCTTGCGTCTTGTCGGCTCGCCAGTCTACCGTGCAGCCTCTCCCTCTCCCTCTCTCATTCTCGTTCTCTCTCTACATCACGCGCACGCACGCACGCTCCTTTCAGTTGAGCCTCGATGCGGGACAAAACGCCGTTTTGACCATTGCCTACCTTGTCCCGCCAAGCCCAGGGTTATATAAAGCAGTACCGGAGCCTGGTACGAGTCTGGTCGACTCAGCGCCCTTTGAAAAATGCACCCACTACGTCCGGTTCGGCCGGACGCCCTCGCCTCCCCGAAAGGTATGACCCGGGAGGCGGCTGCTATCGTTCGCCGGCAGGACTCGACTTCTGTCGACTCGTTGTTTCCCGAGTCCGAGGCCCTCCTCGGCTCTTCGAGCACAGCCTCTCCGGGTCTGGTCGACTTTGAATTTGCTGGTTTTGGAGATTTGTCCGACTCGAGACCGTCGACTGCCTCGTTCGAGCAGACTAGTCGAAGCGAAAGGGGTCAGGATAGCGGCTGCTCATCGTGGAGCCAGGGTGTTAATTTGCCGCCGCCCGAAGGGGTGTCAGCCGACGGCGACTCAAGTCCAGCCCCAGAATCCTCCGTTGCCCATCGACAGCCCATCAGTCGGCCGACAACTCGTTTGGCTCAACTCGACTGCGCCGGCGCTATCGACGACGAGCTGCAGGACACCATGTTTGTTCGAGCCCTCGACGACTGTCTGCTCCTCCGCTCGCCACCGACTCCAGGCGACGCCTCGGCCGACTCGTCGTCCTCCATCGCCGTCGACAGAGCCGATGGCGGCGGCGGCGGCTGCGGCGGTCGTCGGGTACAGGTGGCATCGCGATGTCGAACCCCGCAGCCAGGCGAGCCGGACTCGACGGTTGCCACGCCGACGGCTCTGGTGCCCGGCCACTTTCGACCAATCGTACTGGCGCCGGGCTCGACGATACTGGACAGCGTGGTCTACCGACGCTCGGACACTCTGGTGCCCAGTCCGGCCTCAGGGGGCATCCACGATCCCCCTCCGGCCTTGGACACCGCCGTCTGGTCCGAGCTAGTTGCCACGCGGAGGCTCGAGCTCGAGTCTGCATTCGCGCCCGACTCTTCGGCACCGCCGGTGCAAGCTGCCCCGTCACGGCCAACTTCGCTGGTCAACTGCAGGTCCTGTTCGGCGCCACTCGCCTCGGCTGAGGAGGGTATCGTCGGCGCCGACTCGGGGGCACTCGTAGCCGTTGAAGAGAGGCTGATTGGCCGAGATTTGCGACTGTCCGCACACCCGCTTCTACTTCGACACAGCGGATTTGAGCAGCCGTTATTCGGTCCTGAGGCCTCGACCACAGTCGGCCTCGGAGAAGCTGCGTCAAGCCTGAATTCCATGCCTCAACGGCCCATCTCACGGTACAGCCTCGATGCGAGTCGCCTTGAGGAGCTGGGGACTGCTTGGCCGTCGCCTCAGGAGCCGAGGCCCTGGAGACCTCCGCATCGTTTGTCTGGTGAGTCGTGTTTTTCCCATAGTCCCCCAGTCTTTTATCAACTCCATTTCACAACTCCGATATTGTCATCTGTTAAAGATAGGAAGGCGGAATTTTGAGAGGTTTTATAAACAATTTTATGCAAGTTGAATTTCATTTTGCAGAAGAACATGCTCAAAGGGGATTGGTAATGCCTGAAGCATGTTTGCTTAAGAAGTACTTTGACCTCGTTTTTGCAACCTGTTCGCGCTGTCAGGAAGACCTAGTTGAACGTACCTTGTCCGAAGTCCTCCGCTATAATAGTTATAATAATTACAAGGGCAAAACCCAGACGATTCTGACTAAGAGGTCCTTGAATATGCCAAATCCACGGTCCAACCCCGGGAAATTATCACAACTGCTATGCCAGAGGACTCAGAATCATGTACAATCATCTAGATCACTTTGATAACACAACCAACTACACAAACATGGTCGATCTCTACAATATTTTTTATGACTAACTTTTCATCCCAATGGTCTGCTAGTCTCGTACTTGCAGTAATAATTGATTTTACAATTTCAACCTCTTTAACTATGGCTTGATAAGAGATAAATAATAAAATCATAATCTTCTGAGCTTATAACCTATGTCCCTTGTCACTTTACTTCGTTTTCGCAACTTTGTCCTGTTTGCCGCTATAGTAGTTATCGTAATTTCCCGGGGCCAAAGGACAAGCTTCACTGGCAATGCCGATTACAATGCCGACGAAACGTCTATAAATGTACCAAGTCCCATAGTCTAACGCTTAGAATTATCATAATTAATATAGCGTTCAACTAGGTCGCAACCTAAAGTTGTTTTTTTTTCACAATCAGATCAGTAGAATACCGTTAAGGCTATCAGACTACTTGTGAGTATCGAAGCGACGTTACCACTCGATTTCGCAACCACGGTTACCAGCGGCTCATAGTGCAGATGAGGCAAATCAGGCCTCCCAAATTACAATTTGAAATGTAATTGCCGATTAATCAAACATGTATTTATCATTGCAATTGAAGACAATGCAGTAATGCTTGAGTAATAAACTAGTCAACTATAGTAGTTTAAGGTAATTTAAGGACTGATGTTTGATTAGAATACCACTTATTTTATATCATGCAGGTATGAATTGACTGTGGTTTCCGTCTCACTTCACCTTCTCTCACTACCATCCCCAAAGTTTTTAGCTACCGGGTTGTCAATGTCATAACGACGTCTCAGGTGCCAGCGTGTCACAGGGTACATGCGAAATTCAATGACTTGGCTTTTCCCAAATCAGATTTATATGGGGTTGTCGATTACACAAAAATATATTTCTTATTGTTCTTGAATAAAAATCTAATCATAGCTATAAAGCTGGTCGCAGTTTCCTTTAGCTTTGATCTCGTTTTTCCAACTTGGTCGGAGCGTCAGGGAGACCTTGTGGAACGTACCTAGTCCTGCGTTTTCTTCCATAGTCTTCATGATATCCAACATCGAACCATTGACTTGGTACATTCCCAGACGTCTTGCCGGCATCGTAGTCAGCATCGTCAATAAGAGGCGCCATCAATAGCACAGAGTTACATGTCAAGTTGACCAATTTTTTGTTCAACTTTGGGACTTCAGTCCTTGCCCCTAATTTTGTCCTAGCTTCTAGGGCTGTATCTCTTTCAGCCCCATCATGCCGCATCATATAAGCTCTTTTTCAGCGCTATGCATGTCACAAGTAAGCATTTACGTAAATCTCGATGAATCCACTTCATGCGGCGCACTCTTTGGCAATATTTGAAGAAACGATAACTCAGAATGGTGTGAATAGGTAAATTGGCCATATTAAGTTGGGTTGAGAAAGAGATGCAACTATAAAAGTCATGATAAAGAATGGCCACAACGGTTGAAAAGAAAATTGGTGAAGGGGAATGCCTTCATTTGTCACTTTGATAAGTTGTAACTGTGCTAATGATGGCGCCATTTCTGGGGGTAAACCAGGCTATTGGTCTGATGCAGTAAGTCACGAATACCACGACAGAGGAGGCAGGACTAGGTACGTTGTACAAGATGTTCCTGACGCTCCGACAATGTTTGGAAAACGAGGTTAAATCAATACTAAAAACCTAATCAGCCTTGGTCTTTTGAGATGACTGACAGTAATTTGAGAGAGGCTTGATTTGCCTTAATTGTCTCATCTACATTGTGACATACTGGATGAAGGAATAGTAGTTTAATTTTCCCACAATGATATAGGTAGAACTGGCGTCACCATTAAATTTTATAAAGCTTTGCTTTTCCAGGTGTTCTCATTCAGAGTGGACTGCAATTTCGACCTCGCCTAGGCCTTATCACCACCCCCAGCGGGAGTCGAACCATGAAAGTGCAGTATGACTTGAAAAATGCCTGACCTTTCTTGAAATTCACATCTGCCCTGTGATCTAAGGGCACTCGTGGTAATGCGAAGTAGTGGTCAACGTGTCGAGATTATACGTTGCACTGTCATGGTTCGACTCCCGCCGGGGATGTTGATAAGACGTAGGCGAGGTCGAAACTGCAGCGTACCCTGGAGGAGTACAACTTTTGGGAAAGCAAGGTTATGTGAAATTCAATAGAAACGTCAGCTCTACTCGTATCATTATGGGAAAATTCTAATACCAGTCCTTCATCACCTTAGACGAAGTAGGGTGAACACAACTCATATATATGATTTACTAGTAGCCTCAAAAAACTCATCACTAGCGAAAAAAGACTAATGTTGATTTAATTTGGTTGGGGAGAGAAGGAGGCCTTGTACAGCATACGTAGTCTTCTCTCTGCTATGGCATTCATGATAATTTACAGCGTCGGATGGCGGACTTGGTACATTGCTAAGTACCAGGTACACGAATCGCAGCTTGAACTTATCAATAATACTATGGCAGAAAAGACAAGGCAATTATCAGCTTCGGACCGTGTACTTGGTACTTGGGATTGTACTAAGTTCATGATCAAAGGCTGGAAATTATTATAACTACTATGTCAGAGGAATCAATACTTGGTATGATCCACAAGCTGTCCCTACCATTCCGACTAAGTTGTAAAACTAATACAAATTAACGATTAAAGGAGACTGCAACCAAATCATCTTTGTTTTTCATCTAGGCGTATTAAGTTCCTATTCAAGCATTGTTGGGTAGCCTTTTATTTTGTATGAAAGTTTATGGAGAAGAGATTTACTTGTTGAGCTTTTCGGAAGACGATAGCCGATTCCCGTTGTTCTTCAGCATTTTGGTTTTAATACAGCATTCATATTGATGAAGTCCACTAGAAATCCTTCCTCGTTCCAGGTGAAATTGTGTTGAGCTTTTGTCCATTATATGACACACCTCATCAGAGCAGGGACTCATTCTTGCAAAGGTCTTCTTGATCTAGTGTTAACTTGAGACTTTTACAAGAATGAGTTCCACGAGGTAAGGTGTCTCGTGGAATGCGTCAGCATGAACGTCGTATTAAAGCCAGATGGCTGCAGAACAAAGGGGAAGGGCCATCGTCTTTCGAATCTCTTCAGCATGCACTTTCGTACAAAATGAAAGTCTCTACAACAGGTTACCTTAAGAGATTAATCTAAACCCAATTAATCTTGGTATTTTATTCATGCACTACTTATAGCCTCGAAAACTATTTATAGCTAAAAACTCCGCATATTTTCAGGAGAGTAAAAAGGAGGTTGTATTGAGAAGGATGTAAATTCGGCAGTCCCAGTAAGACTAAATGGCATTTGGCCAAGGGGAATCTAACGTTGTCTTATGGTGGGATCGACTCGAATATCTTTGTGACACATTTCTACTCGGAGTGAAAGTGAGATCAACAATATTTGATAAATTTATGTGGCTCGAAATCTCATTTTGCAGAAAAAGTTGGTTCTAATGGATTGGAAAATTGGTCTCAACACAAAATGTAGGAGGATTGTCTTTGAGCAAAAGCTGTTGAATGGTCGGAAAAAGTTCTCGACTCCGATCAAGCCATGCCGAGCCTTCATCTGTACCACCGCAATAGGCGTGACCAAAGCCAAAGATCAGCCAAGAGAGTGAACTCTCAAGGTGACCGTCTGCTAGCATATTCAAGTTTTATGTTTAATTTTGCTATTTTACAATACATCTCAGTTTTAATAAGAACTTAGTCACCATAGTATGAGATGTATTCACCCTCTAATGTGATTAAGGACTGGTAGTAA